TAAAAATTGTATTCTTATTTCTAACAATAGTTATATGTCAACAATATTTGAAAATATTTTCATTTCACACTGGAATCAAGACCCTTTTTTTCGATGATTTGTTTTCCGTACTGAGAACCAACGCTTACGACGCCAGGAAGGCAGGTCCCACACCTGGACCCTACATATCGACCCATCAACTTATGGACCCGGGACCAACGGCTTTACTTCCCGTGGCGTAATCTGAGATGTTATGCTTCAGAAAATCCCGGCGGCGCCAACTGGGATTGGGGTGAGGGGCAATCACGCTGAAATCAAGACTTGAAAGCGTTTTTAGCGAAAGCGTTATACCCCGTTCACATTACAGCGTATATCACGTGATATACGGTGTCTTGCAATGAGCACTCATACATCTAGTTTTCACTGGAAATCCTTTGTATGAGTGCTCATTGCAAGACAGCCTATATTACGTGATATAGACTGTAATGTGAACGGGGTATTAAGTCTATCCAAACATGCGAGTTAAATGCCGGGAAAATAGCAATAACAAACGTTACACTGTTTCAATTCAATGCACGTGAATTTTCTTTAACGTCGATCAAACAACCCATTGAAGTTCCCCTCAATATTTGTGCATGTTTGACCAGTCAGTCCGGTTAGTGAGTAGAACAAGCACAGTGAGCGAACAAGCACGGTACTGTGGCACGTAAACCAAAATAATTAATGTTGGAGCCAATTATCTCTAGGCGCTTTCGAATTGAAGAAATGTTACTCCACCCCTAGTGATAAAAAAAAAACACTTACATAGGCTTTCCCGCATAAACGCGAACCATCACATGACCTTACCGATAATAGTTATAAATTGTTTATAATCCCTGCTAAACTTCAACTGAAATGGTTATGGAACCTTACATGAACGTTTGTGTGATAAAGTTTTAACCTTATGTGTTATGGTTTTTTGGAAGCGGACCTTACAAATAATGGGTTGTTAAGAACCATTACCATTCCAAATTCTTGTTTTCTCCATACATTTTCGCAAAGAGAACTTGAAAGAGTATAAGAACTTCAGGAAAATTTGGAGAACTTTATGTTATTAACCACAGAAAAATTGCGAAGAAGTTCTGAAAACGTCCAGAACACCGATGAAGTTTTAAAGTCCTTTATGTTAGGTTCCGATATCTTCAGGGCAGTTTCATAGGTTTTACGCAAATTTCGAGAAAAACTTGGGTACAGAACCGTTTCTTGACGTGTTTGTCGTATTAGAAGCTATATAATAGCTTCTTTCATCGATCGTAAAAATGAAAAAGTGATTCGGAGGAAGTGAGGCGATACCCAAGTAACCAAAAGTACTGATAAAAGGCTATTTGTGGCTTAAGCAGCTTGGTTGAAGGTGGTCTATTGAATTCTAAGCAGCCTCATTTTTAAGTTGTTATAAGAACTTGAAAGTTCCGGTATCATAATTGAAGAACATTCTAAGCATATTCTGGCGAAACTTGAACTTCCGTTGAACTTTTAGAAAATAAATTAAAAAGGTTTTTGTCCACTACACCCAATTCTATGTTTAGTTCGCCTTTTTATGAAAGTTATTTCTAAAGGTAGGTAATTAATGTGTATTGATTTATCAGCATTAGTAGTAGAATTGAGCTGTTTGAAGAATTAGACCCAGTCCTTCTGCGTAAGAGCCCCAGCACGAACCGCTGCGTCATCTGAGATATAATAAAGTGAGCTGTTCTCCCGTCTACTGTTGGAGTTTTCAGTGCCAGCTGACTGACTTGAATATGAAACACAACACCTTTAAGAATTTTAAATTGGTGCTTGTAACTTGAAAGTGTTATGGTGTTATAGAACTTGAAAGTTCTGTCGGAACTTTATTTGAACTATATGAAACTTGAAAGTTCTGTCAGAACATTATTTGAACTTTTTTGAACTTGAAGGTTCGGTCGGAACTTTATTTGAACTTTACGGAACTTGGAATTGATTTTAATCGTTGAATGCGGAACTTGTGGTTACTTGGGTAGTTTCTAGCGTTTAGTATATTGCCGCCAGCTCAGCACTATATACGGAACAAGGAGTTTGAAGCATTCGAGAGGTGCTATTAAAGTCGTTATAAATACCAAAACCAGCGGACGCCTCTATTAGTGATCCATCTGTGAAGAACGATCTTGCGGAATAAACTTGGCCAAACTTTGCAGCGAAAATATAATGTTCTGGGATTTCGCGAATCTCTTTAGTAATAGATTGTAGCGGGCCCGTGGCAGCTACGGTTCTGCTGCTTGTTCCCGGTTGATTTCATTAAACGGGTCACCTCCGAAGAGGACCAACCGTCGTGCTTCACGATGCCCGACAAGATACAGGCCAAATGAGCCAGCTCTGAAATTAGTTACCAGCGTCAGGAACAAGACTAACAGACTCGAGCGACCCAACAAGGAAGCGAACATACCAACTGAAATCCCAAAATCTGAATACCGAGTCCATAGAATAGAATAGGTAAACCACAAACCAATCCAAACAGGGGTTTCATTACTGGCAGCAATTCCTCTGACCCATTAATCCTTTCCTGACCCAGAAGTCGAATACACAACCAATCCAATGAATTGACGAATGACATGACCAAACGAAAACTTCAGGGTCTGTCAATCAAACTTTCTAACACTGAACCCGATTAACTTTGGGGGCGGGAAAGTTCAGTAACTACATTTATTCAGTGAATTGGATAACGTAAGTTTTATTACACATGGCATTTCACGTTTCGTTTGGTACCTGTCAAGATCAACCCTGTTGGATGCTCTATGGGTATTGAATGATGAAGTGGTGCGATTGAATGAGTACAGCTGTGACAATGATGTTCTGAAAGAACTGCATCTGGACCCTGAAGACGTACAGCTGCTTGAAGGATTGAAGCGATCCAGCTGCCTGGAGTTGAGGAGGAGGAGGAGAAATAGAATGATTGGTATTGCACATAGACGCCCACATTCAGCAGGAGTACAATACAACTCAAGATACAACTACATTCTCGTTCAACTCTGGAAGCTATTATTCAACGTTTGATCCAATCAGGTGTTTTATAAGTGCTCTCAATTGTTTGTTGGGTTGGTACGGGAGGTCCACGCTTTCTTCCATCTCCTTGATCTCAAGTTGTGGAATGGTTTCAGATACTTATTTCTGACATAGCTTGACTCCTGGAAATCCTCTCTGAGGCAAATGCTGCACTGTTGGTCTTGCCATTCACAAGAAAAATGACGGATTCATGAAGTCGTCATTTTCCAAGATGCTTTCAAAGTATTGGCTGCGTTATGCCGCGGATACACTTGTATGACCAACTATTAGCATGAGCCTTGGCATGAGCATTATTTGTATAATAAATTATGAGCACATCCATGGTCACACTTGTAAAGTTTTTGGTTTCCCTAATAAAAATACCATTGAGAATGATAATCCAAATGTGGAACTATTCCACAAATGGTTTTAATGATACCTGGAACACGTCGTTAAGCAAAATAACCACAACAATTTAATTAGGTTTTGCTTATAATTTATTATACAAATAATGCTCATGCTCATTATTGGTCATACAAGTGTATCCGCGGCATTAGAGTGCTATTAGACATACATACATAATTTTGAACTTGGCCGGCCTACTTCTGTTCCCCTCTTGTGCCGCGAAGTCATAAGTTATTCTAAAAGAACTCTTAGGCTCTGAACCATTTGGTGGATTATTTTAACTTTTGGTTATTTTCTATGTTCGAAAATCCGCGTGCTGTCGATCGGCCGGTTTTCGAGCCACGGTTGTCAAAATTTAACTTCTTGTCTGTCAGAAATAACCATGCTCGGATAGCAGGGTTAATCGATAACTTTTCATCTGTCAAATTTTAACCAAAAGTTAAAAAATTCGCCAAATGGTTCAGAGTAGAGTCGGTGTATAATGAGTCACGCCAAGAGCGAAGCCAAGTCTACCTATTGAACTGCCAAACCGGCTACCTATCGTGCAAAGTAAACAAACATTACGATGCTTTGAAAGGTCAACGAAAGGTATTGCAATAAAATATAAAATATAATCGAAGAAATGATCATAAACTCGCAGTGAGCATTAAATTGTCATGGGATACGTTTGGTAACGATCAGTAATGAGAATTTCTACTATTTTTTGTTAAGATGATGGACAAAATCACTGATATAATGATTTACAACAGCCGCTATTTTTGTTTTGCTCGCTAGAAGTCATTTGAAGTTGATGTAGCAGTCCTCTGTTGCCAAGTGAAAAGAAAGGGAATCTTTGGAAAACCGTGATGCGTGTTCAACTGTTTTTCTCTTGGCGTGACTCATTATACACCGACTCTAGTTCAGAGCTTTAATTTGTTGTGCCTCAGTAGAGTCAAATTCGAAATCTCAAACATAAAACAACACTACCTGCAACAAAAAACTCATCTTTTAATTAAATCTTTTATTTGCAGCGACCAAATATTAATTTAAGGTACACTCTATGAAACATCAGTGACGTCATATTATTTTTTCCCCTGACTGATTCTGCCTGCAAATCACCCGTATATTTCACATACACCAGTTGAGCGAAAGAAGCAAACAAATTTTGTATTATCACATGTCCACTACCACCGGACCGGGGAAATAAAAGCAGCAACAGAGTTACATTTACAGCTACTATTCCCATACAACAAACACAGGCGTGGATAAAATAAACAAAAAGAAATGAACCCCACAAAAATATACTGACAAGGATGAATTCATTCACAGTCCAAGAGAAACGGAATAGAAGCACGCATACTCCAAACCGGCTTTTTCCTATTAATGTGAGGGTACAATTTAAGGGGAAGCTTCCCGATGTACCCCCATTCATGGATTTCTCCAGAATCTTGTTCGATCGGAATGGCCAGCTTTAATCAATACTACTTTTATCAAATCACACGAAAACAAATTCATCCCCAACAAACGACTGCCGACCCAGTACAGTCAGTCAAATTCCCGTCAAGGTTGAGTTGGTGTTGTGCATAAAACGTCTAAAACTCAGTGAAACGAAATCTCTCAACTGTTTCAACTCACAGACAGACAGACAGTCAATTGCCAGAACCCGGTCAAGTTTCGCGCGAAGTCTTATCACCGCTCATACGTGTCCGTATGCTCCACGGATGTACATAATACTCATCCTTCTGGACCATTGAATAATAGAGCTGAACTGATAATCTTTCGCACTTCACCGACCGACCGTCGGCCCGGGATCACCAATCGAAACGAACGAAGCTGCTGTCCAAATTAAAGCTCCATCTGATGTTATCAGCTGCTGCCTGCTAACCAATTCATCGTTGACGAGCTGCTTGCTCTTGGTTACCGGAGTGTGAAACTCATTGAAATCTCAACCTCGCGCAGTGATATTATAGCAACCAATCAGTCCGGGAGCAACCGCTCGGGATCCAACCTTGGGACCCTGAAAGTTACATAATCCGCTCTGAACGTGGTGTCCAGCAAAGTTCCACCCAGCGAAAAAAGGTGTGTTGGAAAAGTTCAAGCCTATCCTTACACGTATTATTCAAAGTGCAGTGCAGTGCAGTTTAGGTTTGTGGAGGAATATATAATTTAATAAGCACCTATATCGAATAAAAAAAAAGTATTGACTGCCGCAAGTGGAAAGGTCGAATTCATTATTTAGATTTTGTGGTGTTCATTCGATCCAGTAAACCCGAAATAGAAAATCACTATTCATTCAACAGTGTGTTCTAACATTTTTCAAAGTGTCATTTATAAAACTTCCAATCCAGTAGCCTGTTTGTGATTGCATTTATATTTAAACGGTGAAGAGAACAACAAACATGTCGTCACTACCTCGCGTCAACCTGGACGAACCGCGATACGACCAGAGTACCTACCTTAATCGAGCTAAGCATTTTCTGATTGTGACCAATCCGCTGAATGTGTTCGCCACCGAGGAGCAGCTGGACCGGGCGGCCCGGATCGTTAAGGATTATCGGTAAGTACGTGCGGTGAAGTCGTGGCAAAGAATTAAATATTGCCAATTCAGAGAAAAAAAAATGCATTTGGCGTCAGATTATCAGCTTTGATAGCATGCTGTGGCTTTCAGTTCTTGGTTGCTATTAAGAATTAACAAGATTATTCATAAGAACATGACTTACTGGGATTAGACTGATTAATGACTTTCGTTGTCGTTGGTTATTATTTTATCAAAGCATTAATGTATTATTTTTAAAAATCTATCAAATCACATTATTCTTTACTAAATTATGACTAAGATTATACAAAATTGTCCTAGTAAAATATTCAAATTAAATTTTCAAGGTGAAATCTTCCGATTCTTTTTAAACCGAGATAATAATAAGTGCAGGATTTTGGCAAAATGGATAAGTTTGATAGCTTAATATGTTATAAAGAACATTGAAATATTTTATAAGTTTAAGAATCTTTGATGCAGGGGATGTCAATCAATGACCACTCCTGTACCGGTTCTATGCTGGCAGATAAAGTGCATCGATTAGGAGTTGAAGCGGATCGCGTGTGCGGTAACGGCGCTACCATCTTCTGGGACATCTAGGGTGGCCGTGGTACACACTTTAGAAAAATTCATGTAAATTTAGGTGCTCTGAGGCTGACATATAAGAGCGTCAATTTTGACATAAAATTGAGTCGTAATAGACGTGAAACTGAGCTCAATCCAAGGGGTAAGACAGGTTTACTCTGAGTTGCTTTTTTGCAGCAAGTAACTCAATGTACCTCAATATTTTCTCTGCCTACTCCGTTTACTCATTTTAAGCATATACATCTTATATTAGACGTTGGTTTTGTTTTTTCTTTTTTTTTTCCTCTGTTCGGGACCTAACAGTACTGCCAGCAGTAGTTTGATCTATTGTAGTATATCCCGTGTCCTTAGTTTAGTGCATGTCGTATTACTCCATCACTATTGAGAAATGATGAAGTATTCGATTTTTTTTTACAGTTGTCATTCTTGCATATCGCAAGGATCCGACTCTAATTGAAAGGTCCCGCTATGTATACCCTTCGGAGTGTTGAAATACCCTCCAAAGGCGCGCCCCTTTGTCTGTCAAAATTGGATTCCTTAGCAACAAAATTAAGGAATGACACCGGTTATGACCATGCATCAGAACCCTAGTCTTAACCACTTCAAACTAGGGAACAACGAATGGAAAATTAGGAATCACATAGATGAAGACTAACTAACTCATTTTTTCCTTGTTTCAAGATCATCCGCGGTGGACAAAGCCGAGTCTTGTCACTGTCAACAAGGCATAACAAGTAACAAGGACTAAGATGTGTTCCTTGGATTACTGAAAAATCTTGTTCCCCTAGTTTGAAGTAGTCAGGACTAAGAATCGGTTATAGATCTTACATCCCGTAACGTATCACGAAAAGGTGATCTACCCACGTCGGTTTTGTTAGTAAATAAAGTAAACCCAAGTGTATTCTGAGCCTTTCGAATAACTGGAATATTATGGAAGAAGTGGAAGAACCTGTGCCGGTGCCTGCTTACTATCAATAACAACCCATACTTCCGACCAGGTTTAAGGGTTGTGCTTCCTCCTCAGCAACCAGTCCCAGTCGTCACTCCAAAAGGGTCATCTCTGATCAAAAAAGCTCTCCAATATTCTTCTAAAGATCTGAAATTACACCTATAATGCAGCGATCCCATCCTCTTCGATTTCTCCAGTCGTAACAGAAGTCCCATTGGAAAAGGCATCACCAGTTAATGTGGTAATAACTAACTCCGACCCCCTTTCGACTAACATTCCCGTTTGCACCATGGCAAACATAAAGTAGTGAGTAATATTTCAACCATGGCCCCTCCAACGGCACCCGCCGCCATAGTTTTCCGTATAGAAAATATCTTCCGGTGGGGCAACAACCAATTAACACCCAATTCCAGCTCCGAAGGCAATGCTACAAACCATTACCCCGTGGAATGTTCAGCCAGAGCTACTGCCGAAGCCTAAGAGGAGGATGACGATGAAGTAGCAGCTGTTTCCGGTGAGTGCGATCCTCGTTTAAACTTCATAACCCCCTTCAGGAAGACGAAGCACAAATCAAGCTGACAGATTCTCTTCGTCGACTTTCTCCTGGAGACTTCGGTCGACTGCCAGCAAAATCTCGGTGGTGTATAGCAAAAACGGGACAGAATCATGACCATCCGGAAGGCCCAGTAAAAGCACCAAAAGCGAGGATGGATGTCCCTCGTCAGCAGAACGGCATCGTGGTAATTCAGAGCTCGGTTCGCAGTTCCATCCAACGGCAGTTTATCAAGCGATGGGACGGGATTGCTTCGACAAGTATCGATTTTGAATATTTGGTCAGGCAGATCGGGTTTTTCTACCACATCAACCAGATAAGCATTCGACCGTCGTAAGTGTAAGGTTGGAACAGGTTCCTTTCACGTTCACGGTTGGTAAGGGTCGAACAAAGGTTATTAAACTGAGATGATTTAAGTCTCTCCGAGTTCCGCTTTTATTATTGTTTTATTTGACAGCAGCTTTTCGGCTTCGCATGAAGGTGCATCTTCAAATGTTGCTGTGATGCGAAAAGTGAGAAAGCAAATTACAGCGATCTTGCTCACTGAGCAATGTCAGTTACTCGAGGTGCCTCAAAAGCAACTCTGAAATTGCTCATGATTAGAGCAACCATACCAATGAGTAAATAAGGCACATTTACCAACCTCTACCATAACGCTACATGCGTACCGGGGGTTGCTATTCAGGTGGGGGAAATAGCAATCCGCACCTTGGGAAGTAGTGAGTTCATAAATTTAGCAACCCGGTAGCAACGCATCTGACGGTTGCTATTTTGAATAAACGTCAAAAGTTTGTTTTGCCGGTGTGGAAAACGGTAACTTAAATTATGACTGTGATAGCAACGACCGGTGTGGAGAGGAGTGATTAAGCCAAAATGGAAACGCTGTGCGTAAGTAAAATAGTGCCGCAAATGGCAACGACTGGTACGGTTGCTCTTAGTAGCTGGCTTGCCCCTTGGCTCAATCAAACGTACTTTTCATCGAGTACCGAACTTTTCAGTCTCGGAACACTTAATTTTACATGACATGTTTGTTTACGTCTCATCCTTTATGTCAAAGATGGATTCCGTCACGTGTAAAATTAGGTATTTCTTAAGTGTGTAGTCTATACGATTTTTATTCGGCCAAGGGTGCCACTCGCTTAGCAGTGCCCATCAGTGAACCAGTCAATAATACTTAGATGCTGTTCCTCTCCGAAACCGAAATTGCAAAACATATTGCAGCATAAACGGATATTGCAAAATATCGCCAATAATGCAGTCTGTTTTGCCTGTAGAAGCAGCTGTTGTGCTCATAGACGCTTAAAACACCACCCAGGAGGAGAACCAAACTAGTTTAGAATTAATTCAGCATGATTTCTAATCAATAAAATTGTTTGCTTAGTAGATTTTATGTTTTTTTTTTATTGTCATAAAAAATAGCAAACACACAAGCAGTATTAACAACAATCAATACGAAACTAACGATTTTAAATTGGCTCACCACTTTAGTAGCCTATTGGTCCCAAGCAAACGATTAACGTACCCTATTCTAGTTGAAATTCTATTACTACACTATGTTTGTTTTGATTCGCTATGAAAGTTTGACAGATAACATCAGGGGTGTGTGGATTCATGCAGAACATGCAGGGGTGAGTGAAATAGCTTGGGACTGCTTGGGACCGTTGTTCTGGTACTGAGTGAGCCAAAAATAATAATGATTTTCTTCGGGACCCAGTGGTCTTAGAGTTACCTCTATGGTATTAATGTCCCTTATGAGCAGGGGGAACGACACTTCAGGATTATCCCATTTTTACCCAAACCTCTCATATAATTTTCAACGTGCACAAAATTTCAATCCATCCTATCTATTCTTTCTATTCCCAACTTATCCCTTCTGCATGCACACAAATTGGCAAGCAAGCCGTGCAGTTTCTCGAAGTTTTCAGGTCGACCGCGAAGCACTCTGCCATACTCACTGTCAGTTTACAACACTCTCCACAACAAACACCACGTATGTCAGCTGACCATGCCGGTAAAAAATCGGTGCGAAAACTAAAAAAAGATGACGGACCATTCGTCTATAATCGGTATCGGGGGCAAAAAACATCAAGTGCATCACGGAGGAGACGGCAACGCACATCCATTTCCCGGACTCAAACCGATCGAATTCGACGGATAAGAGCCCGGGTCTCTGTGTGTTGTAGCATGGAAGTTACCGAACAGGCGCGAAGCAACTGTTGATTTCGTTCGAACTGCTGATTCTAGCCCCGGGAAAAGCCTTACCAATGAAACCCCCTACGACAAGCAGGTGGAAAAGGAATTCAGGTCGTTTTTTCCACTCGGCCCAAGTTTTACTCGTCTCTGCTGCTGGTCAAGGGTTCGGATAAGAAAGAGCTAATGGTGAAGTAAGACACCCACCGGGTGATGTATTTCTGTGCGACAATATTGCGGATCAAATTCCCATCCAAATACAGCTGGGAATATTAACTGGAACTTTGTAATCCATCGCCATCACCCGTTCATCCTACTGTGCAGTTTCGACCTTTTCGGTGCGGAACCGTTTTCTGCACTTGAGCTGTGAGCTTTGATTATTATAGTTGGGCGGTGTCCCGAGCGGTGTCCATTAATTCCGTTTCGCTAAAAATCAATATGTTTGACCCCCCCCCCCCCTTTGGAACAAAACGTTACACTGAAAATGACCCCCCTCTATTTATTACGCAACGCTCTATAAACCCCCCTCCCCCGCCTTTTCATTTAATTAATGTTTGATTTCGTTTTGTATTTTTTTATTTTTAGGTAATTAATTATATTATTAATATTCAAAACAAAAACGAAAGATCAGTGTACCAACGAGTACCTCCTTTTCAAAAGTTCAAGATAGCAAAAATCTCAATTTATAAAATTAAAACAGATCCATTTTGTAAAGCAAGATTTAGTGATGATAGCCTTCGTTGTCGTTGCCAAAAACGTCAAAAAAAGACCTGTATTTTCAAACTTTACATCAAGAAACGAAAAAAAAAACAAACTGTTCTCTTTTTTACGCAACGCAAGGCTTTACTACTCCTCCCCTATGTATAATTCGTAACGATATACAGTATGCAAAAAAAGTTTATCCACCCCCTACCAATTTACAATTTATTTTTGTTTTTCTGGTGAAAATCAGTTTAATTTTATGAGTGTTCCTCCATGATTTATCAATTTATGTTTATTTATCACATTGCCATTGAAAATACGGCGTTTATATCTTTTCTTGAGATTTCATGTGATAAATTATGAAAAATGGTGAAAAATTACGCAAAAAAATTTATCCACCCCCAAACGGATACTATGATTTAAGTGTGTTTTACAGAGTTTTAGTGTGTATTCTGCAACTTTATCGAATGTAAACATTGTGCCTATCTGTCATTTAGTGTTCTTGAAGTTTTCGTGTTAAAAATTTCAGTTTTGTGTTCAAAATTGGATGTTATTTTTTTCAAAATGCCCAAAAAAGACCAAATTTCGATCAGTATCCGAAATTTGATTATTGAACATCACAAAACTGGCAAAAGCTACCGTGATATTGCTGATATTGTCAAGCTTCACAAAGATACGGTCGCTAGAATTGTGCAGATGTGCAAAAAGCGTGGTTTTATCTCGCCAGCTAAGCGATCGGGGCGTCTTTCAAAGACAACTGACCGAATTGACAGAGCTATCGTGAAGAAGGCGGAGCTGGACCGGGGACTATCAGCTCCGAAAATTGCGAAACAGATTGAAAGTGAGTTTTCCATTCAACTGACATCACAATCCGTACGAAATCGTCTTCATAAGAAAAGTCTTAAGGGCAGAGTAGCTCTTAAGAAGCCATGGTTGTCCGCAATATATATCAAAAAAAGATTGAAGTGGGCCCAGGACCACTGTGATAAATAAACATAAATTGATAAATCATGGAGGAACACTTATAAAATTAAACTGATTTTCACATGAAAAACAAAAACAATTGTAAATTGGTAGGGGGGTGGATAAACTTTTTTTGCATACTGTAGGTGACTCCCTCTCCCCCTATAAGTGTTACGTAATTCATGGACGCTTCATTGCAGCAAATTTTTCTTCTTTTTACACCTATCCTCTTCGCGTTCAGACTCGTATCCCTCTGAAATTTTTTAACATCCCTCACATCACATCAATTGCCTGTTCTATTCCCATCTATTTTTTTCTATCCCTGCTCTATTTTCGTCAACACGACACACTCAAAAAAATCCCATCAATTATGTTTTTCCCCGAAAACCCCAAGTAATTACTAGACTGAAAAAATACATCCAAATGAGTGTCGTTCCCCCTGCTTATGAGTTTTATTCGACGAACCTTATAAAATTATTTAACTAAAATGATTTTCATAGCTCAATCTTAATAATACCAATACCATAGAGGTAACTCTAAGACCAGAAGGTCCCGAAGAAATGTGCTCAACTTTTTGACTCAGTGGTAATTCGTGGAAAATCCACGAGCCCCTCATTTTATCTGTCAAATTTCCATAGCGAATCAAAACAAACATAGTGTAGTACTAGAATTTCGAATAGAATGGGATACGTTAATCGATTTGCTTGGGACCAATAGGCTAGTCAAGTAGTGAGCCAATTTAAAATTGTTAGTTTCCACCGGTTGTTTCTAAGTATATTGACTGCCCAACAAACATTTAATGGCCAATAAGGTCCATCGAGTTGTAGAACAACAATCACATATGAATCACCATCGCAGTAGCCAGGAAATATATTTTTAATTTGGTCCTTTATCTCCTGTTCGTATGCAAAGCTCTCTGAACCTCTCCGGAGTCTTTTAACAGCCCTGATGTTCGCCGATCTTCTTTTAAACACTTTCGAGATCTTCAAAGTTCATTGAAGCCAGAGACGATGTTAAATAAGAGACGCGCGAAGACTGAAGCCAAAAGTTCCAATCGAACCGTCAAACGCGGTTAAAATCGAGCAATGTAAATAAACACGAGCGCTTCACGAAGAAAAGCGTGGGGAGTATTGAGATTGGAGTTGAATTTAATTGTTAAGGCTGGTTGGTTGGTTGGTTGGTTGCCTTTATTAAGGAGATTTTCAGCCAGACGCTGGTTAATTGTAGAGATTTAAATAATTATAATTAAGTTTGCTTATGAAAAGTTAAATTGGACAGGGAATATTATTATTATTCACCAGCTGTATTCTCGTTATGTTCTCACGAAATATTCGCTCGAGCACAACGAAATACATTTACACAGGCTCTGTAACAAAGATCAAGGCGTTTCCGGTGTAATATATCAAGATAGTAAAATTTGTGAAATACTTCAAAAGAGAGATTTCACTCATACATGATAGGAAGCAACAATCGCATATTGAATAATATTGTGCAACGCTCTGTAGAATATGCCCTACAATGTGTTATATTTGGTTTCACTCCGAGTTGTCTAAAATTGACCCTTAAAATACTTCTATTGAATAGCGATACTACCGATACGATTAAAAAAGTATTCATTTAACCGTGACGCTTACGTCAGTCGCTCAAATTAAAAGTCACTCGAAGTAACCACAAAATTGCGGGTTGCCAAACCTTGGAGAAAAATAACTTAGTTGGCCGTGCAACCAGATTTACTTTTATTCTCTCCGCGTGTCTCTTATATAATATCGTCTCTGATTGAAGCCATATGTAGTAGGGTGGTTCAAAATATCGATTTTGCTCCACCAAGCACATTCTACTCTAAATCAGGTCACAATAATTTTCCCAAAATTTGAGCTCATTTGGTTGCGATCTCATACTGAACTGACCCTTTGCAGTTTATGTGGGAATTACTATGGGAAAAGTGTTCTTTTTGTTCTTCTCATCCTAACCATTCGCCATAATAATTTACGTGTTAGCTTGCAAGCTACATATCTTTGCAAAAGACCACTTTTTGATTGAACGTTAGGATAATTAGCTATTCAGCTCTAAGTGAGCTCTAATTTTGGGAGAGTGATCAAGACCTGATTTAGAATCGATTGAGCTTTGTGGAGTTCAAGTTTTGTGAATTTACTCCCGGTTAGCCCAATAGTTTTGTGTGCTAGAAAAAAATCTACCTTCACGTATAGATTCAGTAAGCTCCATTTTATAAAATTAAAACCTTATTTTCAAAGGGCGGGGCAGAAATCCAATTTTGTAGAACCGGCAAACCAAATTTCCAACGAGGGGGGTATCACATCTGAATCGCAATTCTAGATGCTCAAAGAATCTCACACTAGCGAATCAATCTACGAAAAATCTTCTTTCATTTCTCGCATCTACTTGCATCGTTCATCATCTTTTTGCAGAAAAACTTCAGAATAGTCATCAATCATCACAACAAAACAAAATCTTTCCTGCATCGTAGACAGAGTCACCCCCCTCGATTTCCTATGAAAATACATACTTTTGTGTATTTAATCTCGTTTTTGAAGCTATCGTTAATCGAGCCCTGTAAGAGAGATAAGCGAGAGGTCGTATCTGCAGCCAATAGAACTGTCACGTAAAGTGCAGCCAATCGAGCAAAAGACCAGTCAGTGGATAGAAAACAATTCTGCTTTGATTGTAGTATTGCTATTAACCCAAAAATAGTACGACATTATTCCAATAAAATAATACCATCTTCGTTGTGATTATTACTATGGAAAAATCGTGTGGAAAAATATCGTCATGTTGCCATTTATTAAATTTATCTTAGCGATTCACTAACCCATCTTACCCCCTTCTCTTCCCCAGCGCCGGCAAACCGGTCAAGGACGTGACCTCGGTGGACGAACTATGGGCCGCCAAGTACCTGTACGACAGCGCATTCCACCCGGACACCGGCGAAAAGATGCTGCTGATTGGCCGCATGTCCGCCCAGGTCCCGATGAACATGACCATCACCGGGTGCATGATGACCTTCTACAAATCGACTCCGGCCGTCATCTTCTGGCAGTGGATCAATCAGTCGTTCAACGCCCTGGTCAACTATACGAACCGATCGGGCAAGTCTCCGATCAGCCAGGAACAGCTGCTGACCTCGTACTGCATGGCCACTGGTGGTGCCCTGGTGACGGCTCTGTCCCTCAACCGGCTCGTACGGGTGAGTTCATTCGACGTGATCGTTCAAGTTCAGCAGGATAATTAATATTCTCACAATTTTAGAATGCAGCACCACTTGTTGGACGTCTCGTTCCGCTGGCAGCCGTTGCCGCCGCGAATTGTATCAACATTCCGCTGATGCGTATGCAGTGAGTACCCAGATTTTATTTTTCGCGGAATTTAATCCCATATGGGCGCGTGTGGGCTCGTCTATACTGTCACGTGCTCATGCGGGGAATTATGCAAGCCATATGTGTGTGCGCAAAACAGTAGAAAATCATGCGCCATTTGTGACACACATTTAGTCGTGACGCGCTCGAGCGATGTGACTTTCTTGCTAGGGGCAGCAGCTGACGCGTTCTTGGAATTTTTTCTGCTCTGTCACCACAAAAACAAAAGGCAATAAACAGCAGGCGTTCAAAAATAGATCGGTTTGACATGTTCTGTCGTTTATAGCACATAACCGTCGAAGATTTGGACGGCTATGGGATTTAGCACTTTTTAGATTTTCTTCAAACCTGTTTGTATTGAAAATTATCACGAACTAATGGACTTCGATCCTGAGACCGTACCAACCCCTCCAGTTGCATCGTTATCAATAACGATTACGAACATCATCTCAGCTTGCAATCACCGAGTAAATATTCACCAATCAAGACTACAATCGCTTGACATGTGGCTCGTAAGCACCTATCCCCAGCTGTTGTTATCAGTGCACATAGTTCAGCCGAAGGCCATTTCTCGACTAAGCTGAGTTCAAGGGTATTCCGTGAATATTCGTATTTCAGATTAGATGTCTATTGTCGTGGCTTTGGTTTACAACCGAAGATTTTCATAATTTTGACCATGTTTTTTTTTGCAAATTCCAGAGAACTCCAAAATGGCGTCACCCTGATCGATGAGGATGGCAAGGAGCTGGGCCAATCGATGCGTGCCGCTAAGGAAGGCATCGCCGCCGTCACCTTCAGTCGAATTCTGATGGCTATGCCTGGCATGGGTCAGTTGTTCTTTCTGTTCCATACAACCAATTTCAACGAAACCACTTTAACTTTCCACTGATTTTCGCAGTCTTTACCCCGGTGCTGATGAATACCCTGGAGAAGCGTGGCTTCCTCAAGCGCTTACCGTGGGCCAACGCTCCCATCCAGACGCTGTTCTGCGGCTTCTGTCTGACGTTTGCCACTCCGCTGTGCTGTGCCCTGTTCAGTCAGAAGGCTTCCATCAAGGTCGACAGCCTGGAGGGGGATGTGCGTGAGAAGATTCGAAAGGAACGCCCGGAACTGCAGGTCGTCTACTACAACAAGGGACTGTAAGAAGCAGATCGGGAAAGGTAGCTGGACACTACAGGAAGTGTAGTTAGAATTTCATTTGAAACGTGCAGGGACAATAAGTGGTAGCTCGATACCACACCTACATACATCGTTTGATTGGGTTGCTGCGTTTCGATTTGCGTTTTAGTAATCTTAAGAGAAATAGTTTGATAGTTAAACTTCAATGTAATTGTTCCTCGGATTGCCACAGAGAGCCATCTAAGTCATTTCCAGCAATTCGACAGATTTCCCAGTAGACTGAGTTTATTGAGTCTTACATAGCACATGCAGAGGAAACAGGTTCCATTCCAAATACGTATGCATTACAACTCAACTTTTCAGAAAGACATATTTACAATAGTTTTGTAGGGAATGCGACAATAAACGGAGTAGTTTCCATCAACCATATTTTTGTCAGTTTCGTTATATTAAATGATGTGTCTGGAATCCGTGTCAGAAAATATGTGTAGCACAAATAAAGTGAAACGGCAAAGAGAATATCTGCGTGTAGTTTTTCATTCAGTCTAGTTCCACGCCAAATGACGAATCGGACAAAAAAACTGGACCTGCATAAAACTTTGTATAATTGTGTCCAATGATGGATCGCTCTTTTGGGACTTTTTAATATAGAATGCTTACGTTTAATCCAATTGAATTTTCAGTAATCCATCTTAAAATAGATAGTTTAGTGCTATTAATCTCCCTAGTGCAAAAACAGAGTGTGGATCTTCGGTGCAGAAATTGTGAATTTTGATAGGGAGATTAATAGCACTAAACTATCAATTTTAAGATGGATTAACTGACAATTCAATTGTATTGACCGTAAGCATTCTATATTAAAAAGTAATGAGAAAGTCCCAAAGAGTAATGAGATCCGTCCCTGATTGTGTGTTAACGGTAATGATTTCAAATTGTGGATCTTTGGTGTCTGTCATTTTTCCATAAATTGTAGCACGGAAACTTCTTCTTCTTTTTCTTCATTCCTTTATTTAACATCAGTCTGTGTTCCGCAATCTAACTACCCAACAAACAATTCTAGCTGCAGATCACTTATACATTTTTGCCAAAACATCAGCCTTATACCACACTTATACATTCCATACGACAAACCGCATAGGTCCTATAATAATGCATAAAAGGTATGTATGACCGCTTATACATTTCATTTGACACATGATCTTCATTAACTTTTTGCAACGCGTCTGCTTATTAGTTGACTTATACATTATATGAAAAATCAGCAATAGAAATTTGCCAAAAGATATAAGGAGATTTCTATCCGTGTATACAGGCACAAATTAGCTGCATAAGGAATTTTTTGTCGCTTTCGTTTTGATTTTGTTCAGCTGCATGTTGAATAATAATTGCACAATGTGTTCACCACAACTTTTATAAAACCCTTGTTTACACTGGTTTGGAGAACATATACAACAGCAACACAAAGGTGTTGTCTAACGTATTCAGTTAAACGTTTACCCAAAATCAATTTCTTGTTGAAGAAACGCTGCCATTGTGATTTTATTCAACTGCATGCTGAATAATAATTGTACAATTTGTTTATTACAACTTGTGTAAAACTCTTGTTTACACTGGTTTGGAGAACCTGTTCAACTACAGCATTATATGTATACGCGGTATAGGAGTAGAAGCAACTTTTATACAACGTTTATAGATACATATTTAAACTCAAGCTTTATTATTTTGGTGAAAGCTCTTATAGAACGTTTGTAGACACTTCTTGACAGCTGCTTTGAAATTTAGTAGAGAGTAAACCTGAGAGGCGTTTGTTCAACTCTTTTATGACTCCTAAATAATCACTATACAGCAACGGTGAAAAGCGTTTATAGCACTTTTTAATGACTCCTTCATAACCGTTGTGTAAGTACTCACAATATTCACAGATTAAAATTAGTTTAACAATTGTTGTGGTACGCCAAAATAATTGCTTGTACAGTTTTTATTAATTTAATTTATTTGTGCACATTGAAAAAATATGTAATTATGCCATAATTCACATTCTGTGATCATGGAGGAAGTAGTAACAAGCATCTGTTTAATCTTTGATTGATATTCTTTCAATTAATCTCTCTAATCATTAATTGAGAGAATTTATCTAGAAATGTTATCGTTGATTATATGATATATGTCTTAAATTAATGTTTGCATTTTTTTTTTTTTAATTCTTTATTAAAGAGATTTTTAGCCTTAGGCTAGTTCATCTCTAAGTTTGCATTTATTAATAACACATATATATAATTTACCTCTACTCCACCGAGGATTTCTCGAAGCAAGATTCGAACTCATGATCCCGGATTGCCAGTCGCTTCTGTTTCCATCTGCTCTATTCTTGAATACATATTTTGATCATATGAGAGAAGTATATGAAGCTCATCTTGAGTGACTTCTCTTGCAGTCGAATTATCATTGCCTTATGGTCATATAAACGTGCCTATCACTTGTGCTATTTTTAGCAACAAAATTGTGGTTGGTGGTTGGTCGAACGTAAACAATCATTTAAGAGTGCTCCAAGCAGCTTTTGAAGCTTTTAACCAAATGGCAATACAACTACATTCTTGTACAACTCTGGAAGCTATTATCCAACGTTTGATCAACTCAGGTGTTGTATAAGAGCTCCCAATGGTTTGTTTTGATGCGTTTATTCCACGTACTATATAGCTCTTGTCAATCGGTTTAACTAAGGTGCTATAAAAGTTATCGTAGGTCTTATAAAGCATATAGGTAAACCGAACGTAAACAATCATTTAAGAGTGCTCCAAGCAGCTTTTGAAGCGATTAACCAAAAAGGAAATACAACTACATTCTTGTACAACTCTGGAAGCTATTATTCAACGTTTGATCAACTCAGGTGTTTTATAAGAGCTCTCAATTGTTTGTTGGGAATCACCGATGGACATCGATTGCCATCCATTGGCGTTGACGGCACCGTTGAAAAACTTGCTCTTCCAGCAAATATAGACAGTTTCTTATGGGAATTTTCGGTCGAGTGAAAGGATAGTACAAACACAGACAAACAGACGTAACTCTTTGAAAAACTTGTTCTTGAAAACATAGTATCTCAAAACATATAACCTCAGTAACGACATCTCTCTGGCTTCTCGCGGAAAACAAGCTTGCTCGCTAACTCGTAAACAATATTGCATAAAAGTTCTATAGAATATATATAAACGTCAAAGTGTTCCGATGCCAGCGCTGCGGTGAGTAGTTCGCGAAACTGATAATATTCAAATCAACCGTTAAATGCATGAACGAAGATACACAATGAAGAGTTACGTCTGTTTGTCTGTGGTACAAAGTTCGCCATGTTTCACGGGGGGAGAGGTAGCTCATCGATTCTTCCGGTTCGCCTCCTAGCATCGTGCTATAAGGTACCAGGCGATAACCAGGGTAGTTGATCGATAGCTCGATGACGTCATTTCGTTGGCGTCTGCAATGGGAAATTCTCATAGCAGGCGTTGACGATCGGACGTTGTCGAGTTGTTGAATAGCAACTATCGTGGTAACTCACCGATTACCTGTCGATCTGCCAAATTTGGAAAGACGTCTGCATTGAATTGTCTCATATAATAATATTCCGCCCACTATATCACAAGAAATTGCGAGTAGCTGAGTGGAATGGAGATAAGTTAAGCATTGGGTACAGGACCAAGTCTCCCCTGGGTGGTGCCCAAAGATGAGCGCAATAGAATCATCAAGTTGCCATAACGCACGGAATGAGACTATTGCATGGCTGGGTAGTCAAAGTCTTCCATACGTTAGTCATTTCAGGTGGATTAGAACAGTTTTAGGTTTAGGGTGGGCGTTGGCCAGATTTGGATTTTTCAGATGTAATCCTGGATAGGACCCTGTCATTGAACGTCGCGTGAAAGTGGCTTATGAAGGCCTAAGTACTTTTTCATAGTTTTTAGTTTTCGGATTTGAAAGATCGTCGGTTACAGTGGCCTGCTTACTGAGCAGAAAAACGCGGTCCCAGGTCCTTACATATCAAAAAGATTTATGGTAAAATCGCTTGTGTATCGTGTATTTTGCGAAACTCGTTGTTGTCGTTGGTTCCGGGTTTGAATGGATACACAAATTTGAGCAACGGTATTATGTGATATGAGGGGCTCGGTGGCCTTAGAGCAACCGTTTTTGCTTACTGAGGAGAACATCATGAGTCTAATCTCAGGCCCATCCACATTCAAGATTCGTCAATCGTTTTATTTGTTAATATGACTACATGGTAATAACAGCAAATCGGTGATTAAAAAGGTACTCGTCTGCCAAGTGGCAAACGTTTTTGCTTACTGAGCAGAAGACCGTGGGTTTAGTCCCAAACTCCTTCGCGTTATATGATCGTTAGGACATCAATTCAGCTTATCGTTTACCAAAACGAACCCTGCTGCAAACCCAACCCTCTTATCCAACATCCCAGTGATTCCTCGTGAAAGTGCAGAGGTGTTCTCGGCTTCCATCAAAGCGAGTGTCATGTCAACACAATCCTTCCCATTCCTTTCTTGACCTGTGTTCGGGCGCGGCCGGCGCTGGTATTGCCTAATTTAATATCACTAGTTTTTACACATTGAGGATGATTGCTAGTCCCAAGCATCGTCTATTGGTTCTCTGTGTAATTACAGCTGATCTGGCAGTAACGGAGTAGCAACCGTGGGCGGTCAATCAAGCTCAAGCTCAAGCTCAAAGTTCGCCATGTTTCACGCACAGCCTGACGTTTGCTTATGGATTTTCTCAAAGGAGAAAAGAGCTACAGAGTCGCCGTCAACGCCAACGGCAATCGAATGTGCAGGAAGGCAGCTTCCACACCTGTGTAGGATATCGCATCCATTCAACACACATGGGTCGGGACCAACGGCTTTACTTCCCTTCCGAAGGAAGACGTGACCAGAGATTTTTATGCCTCAGACAAATCCCACCGGCTTCGGCCCGTATTGAACCCAGACCCATTAGGGTGAGAAAGCAGTCACGCTTACCACTACACCACCGGCGCCGGCTGAAAGGAAACTTCACACCTGATCGAAATAGACAAAGTTATAGAGATTAGTGACGTTCAACGCACGCACACTAATACCAAAGATGAATACTAAGAGAGATGTCCCATTTTTAATTACTCGATTAACATCTAATCGTTTTTTTTTTGTTCACTGTGTTGCCATTTTTCCACCAATGAGAGTGCAGCACATGTTTGAAACGATGGGTGATGATCCTCTGGAGAAGTTAATGCTTATATCGGCATGATATAACCGATTACAAATATTTTACTTTTCGGTTCGTTAATCGATTAATCAATTATTCGCCCATCACTAGATGAATGTGAAACGTCATTTCAAATTTAAGGACCGTACATAAATAATGATACAACTTGAAAGGCCCGGGACTAATCACAAATTACGTCCCCACGGTAACTGAAATAAACACGAGTGTTCACCGCGAGGTTCACCGGTTGCAATGAGCACTCATACATTTAGTTTTCACTGGAAATCCTATA